AACGTTTGATTTTATCATGGTTTCAGATCTCTCTGTAATATACGTAGGATGTACATGCGGGATCAAGATGTAAAATTATTTCTCACCATGGAGCAGGGTCAAAATCTGACAGCCACGATCCTATTTCCATGTGGAAAGAAGGTGACCACACCTCTGAGCAAGGGGAACGGGAGGCACCAGGACCCATTGAAGGAATGAAAAAGTAAACCAAGCATCCCTGGGACACCAGGTTGGACCCAGGCCTTTCCTTCAGCTGAACTGTAAGGTGCTAAGAGGTCACGCCCACAAAGGGAACACAGGCAGACCTGACATTGTTCCCTATTTTACTTTTGCCTGAGTTACTTCAGGACACCCTGTGCTTCCTTTCCCGATTTCCTCATAAACCGTGCAAGAATGGCCAGCTTACGTACCCTTGCGTGCCTCTGTCCAGCATCCGCACGGTGGGCTGGTAACAGCCACTTCCTGCAGTTGTGAGGAACAGGGGCATTGCAGCAGTGGCCTGTACGGAGCCGCTCCCTCTCACCCCTTCCTTCACCACTTCACTCCACTACAATGAAATACTTACGTATCTGCACCTTGTGTGAGTCATTCATCACACAGTGCTGCGGCATGTCTCTATTCTCTTGTAAAGACCAAAATTCACCAAAATAAATGCAAATGTGTGACTGACAAAAGCTACTTTTGAAAATTAAAATTGGAGTCTTGAAAATTTAAAGTGCAATCGAGGAAGTCAAAGGCAAATTTTAGAAAACCTTCCACAACATAGAGAAGAAAGACGAAGAGACAAAAAAGCAAGGAAGGAAAAAAAAAAGGCTAAAACCGATGGAAGATGAACTTAGATACTCCAAATACACTGAGTAGAAATTCAAAAAACTACTAATAATAAAGGAAATAAAGAGCGGGAAATTAGTAAAGAAAGAAGAAAGTTCTGGGAGATGAACAGTTTTCAGGGTGTGTGGGGCACTGATGTCAGGCGGTAAGAGGGAAAACTTCTGAGCTTCCGAGCTTCCCAGGAGAAGCAGAATCAGACTGCAGACTGGCCTGACAATGAACACTGTACATGCCTGGCATAGAACAATCACCTCAGGGCCTTTCCAGACTTGGGTGAGATGATTTTCCCCTTAGTGAAAGAGACATTTCTGACGTGCAAAGCCTCAGAACCCTTATTTGGAGGTCCCTATTCTGAAAAACCTGCCTGGAGCTCTGTGTCCACTAACTGGAGAAGAAATCCAAGAAAGAATAGTTGGTGTGGACACTCAAACCCTGGGGTTCATAAGGAACCCAAACTAAACAACCCCCGGCCCTTGGGTCACTTGGAGTCTGCTGTGGCGGCAGGGCAGGGCAGGGGAGGGGAGCAGCCACAGCCCCACGCACCACACCTGTGTCCCACTGAGACAGGACCTGCCCAGCCCAGGAGGGACGCCTGTCATGCAGGCAGCTCTTTTTTGTGTGTGTGTGAGTCCTTAGCACAGTACATATATGTGTGTGTATATATATATATATATATATATATATATATATATATATATATTTTTTTTTTTAATTGCACTTTAGATTCTAGGGTACGTGTGAAGAACATGCAGGATTGTTGCGTATATACATACATGGCAATGTGGTTTGCTGCCTCCATCCCCATCACCTATATCTGGCATTTCTCCCCAGGTTATCCTTCCCTAACTCCCCACCCCCCACTGTCCCTCCCCTATTCACCCCAACAGACCACAGTGTGTGACGCTCCCGGCTCTTCTTGTCCCATCAGGCTCTGGAGATGGCCGCTTCTGAATGCTTGGTTTTCAAAAGCAAATATACAGAAACAAATTAGGTGTGAGACCTTGCTTGCCTAAAGTAGATTTCCTAGAGGAAATTTCTGCCTCTGACTTCAAATATTTTTTTTAATGAACTAGGATTCGCGAAAGAGGGATTTTGGTAGGTTCTTGGCCCCCCTGCCCTGGGACAGGACTCTGAGCACTGGGTTGTGGCTGCAGAGGCGTGAGAGATGGACCCCCAACCCTGCGCCCCCGAGCTAGGGAGGGGAGCTTTGGGCTTCATGCAATACTTTGTTCTAGAGTCATGAGCAGTCACCTTCAGATTAGAAAAATGTGGATGGATTTCAGGCAGAGAACTTCCTCCACCTCATCATTATTCCTTGTTCTGGTTGCTCTTTAGGGAGCATTGTTCAGCATAAGGTTATTCATAAAATCCCACAAGCATGCATGCTTTATAGGACAACTTTAATACGAACCTCACGCCCATTTTAGTTTATACCACGAATATGAAGTGTAGCATAGTTTGCTTGTCATTCATTGATAACTAATTGTTTTAGATATTTTTAGATATTATGAGCTATTCATATGTATGTTTCTTGGTATTACACTAATATTCCATTGACATTAGCTGATTGCAAAATACTTTTTAAAATAACTATAGCTTCATAAAATAATTTACTAAAAACACCCCACATACATCACAGCATTAAAACTGAACATGTTGCGAATGTATTGACTCATTTTAATATTTTTATTTTAATAGAATATGTTGAGTTTTCTCATTGATTGACCTTTGGGGTGGCAAATTTAAAGATGGCCATGGAACTTCTTTTTTACCCAAAAGTACTTTTTTATATTTTCAAATTTTCTGATCTTTCATACTTTCTATTTGTCTTTATAAATTATTTTTCTACATATTTAAGATTGCTACTATGTCCATTCCATCCTTCCTCTCTCCCTTGCCTTGAGTTTATGTAGCGACATCTTACCATCTGTTTTGTACCACCTCAGCCACATGTAGCAGAGTGTCACAGATGCAGCCCCTGGTCAGGGGTGGGCAGATTAACTGGTCACATCCATGTGTAGGGAGCCAGAGTTTTCTGTATGTAAGCTTTGCTGCTTGTCTACATTGTCACATTTAGAAATTAGAAACTGAAAATGTATATTAATAAATTGGTATCCAGCAATAATAATATCACTGCCTACATCATTTATTGAGCATTTAATGATAAGCCAGACATTTTTAATGTATTATTTAATTCAGATATTGAAAAGTCTAGGAAATGAATGCTTATAAAACAACATGCTCAAATCATGAAGTAGAAAGCAGTGGTGCAGTTATAACTCCATTCTGTCTAATTGCAAATTGTTTAACCATTAAAATTTTGCTTGTTGGTTGAGTCACATGTATAGCATTGTCTGATCGGTTAGAATCTGTCTTCACAGGGAAATGCAAACATTTTCTTTTCCTGACTTCTTCCTCCTCCTCCTCCTACTCTTCCTTTTCTTGTTTCTTCTTTTCTTCTTCTTCTTTTCTCCTTCCCCTTCTCCTTCCCCTCCTTCTCCCTCCCAGTGAACCCATATTAGCCACTAGGAGCAGGCACATAAGATCCAAAGGTGGGTAGAATTCTGTGGGCTCTGGGGTCTCACTCGATGCAGGAGGTTATGTAAGACAGTTCAGAGTTCAGGGTCATGTTTAGGGGAGTTATTACATCCAAGGGGGAGAGTCAGAGAAGTTCTTTTATTTTAAACTACAAAGTAGGGTAAAGAAAAGTGATCAATCTGGTCTAATGTTTTTCTCTTTCGAGGGCTAATCATGACTTTTAACATTCTGTGGTTCACATCTACCATTGTATCTCTTATTATAGCAACTGTTATGTCTCTTATATCCGCCGTCACGCCTCTTACCGTATCCACCGTTATGTCTCTTATTGTATCCACCGTTGTGTTTCTTATCATACCCACCATTACATTCTTGACAAGACATACACATTCCATCCTTTATTAACTGTGTGTGGATGAAATTGTTCTTTGGGGAAAATTAAGTACACACGGGAAGGGTTTAGGGCTCCGCCCTGATGGTTGCAGAGGTGAACAAGGTGGGCTGGCTTCCAGGTGGAAGGAAAAGATCTGTGAATTCCGGGGAATGTGGCCCCATTAGGACTCCCCGTGTTTCTTATTTAACTCTGCTGTCTGGTGTCTCATTGCTCTCATGAGGATCTGCATAGGCATTGTGACGGCACTTCCATGATGGTCATCTGCATTAAGACACAACATCGCAGGGGCTCCAGGCTCTCTGCTCACTTGACCTGTTGAGGTTCGAAACAGCCCAGAGAGTTTTAGTCCTGTTAACCCTGGAGAGCAAGAAGCACAGAATCCTTTGTAATGGAAATCCTAAGGGACCAGTTATCAAGTACCACCACCCACTGAGGCCTCCCTGAGGACCTCATGGCGAGACTCAAATCCCATGACCTGTATCTCAGTGTTGTGGGTCCTTCCTGATCATGTGCAGGGTCAGGCCTTGTTTCATGGTGGGAAGAACTGCAGTAGATCTCAACCCAGAGAATTCAGCTTCAGTTATCATCTCCTTCTGACTAACTGGGGAGCTCTGAGCACGTATTTCAGCCTCCTCTGAGTATCAGTTTCTTTATTCATAAAATTCACATAAAGTTTGATTGACAGCCAAACGACATAACAGGTAAGAAATGTTTTGTAAAATCTTTTAGTTCTACAGATTTTAAGGAGACTACGCTGGTCCTCTCACCCCAGAATTCCCTGGAGATATCAGAATAAATAAGGGTGACAGTGTGGACCCTGGTGTGGAATTCCCCATGACACTGCCGCACAGGCTGAGCCTACCCAGGGTCTGGGAAGGAGGGAGGATTAGGCTGTGTGCAGGAATCTGGTCCCCGGGAGCTGGGAGCTCATGGAACTGGCTCAGGCAGAGCAGAGTATCTCGTAGCCTTCAGAGCTGACACAGCTGTCAGAGAACAAGCCTTCCCAGCCAGGGCCTGCTCCCAACAAGACGTTCTGGGCAAGGCTCAGAATCTGAAGCTCTGGCATTGAGTCTAAGAGAATAAAGGGGCATGCACTGTTTCTGGATATGAAAGAGAACGTTTGTTTCCTGGAGGAAGCTGATGCATTCGCTGTTGCAAAGAGGATGCTCTGTGTATGTCTCCTCCTAACGTGGTGACAAATTCATGAGGTGTTGTATATTGCTTTTATATTTTGCAGATGGAGAAATCAAGGCACAGAGAGATTAAGTGACTTTGCCACAGTCACAAACTGGGGAGGACCAGGAGTGGAACTGAGAGCGAGCCCCGGACTCTGGGCCTGCATCCTGCCAGGAGTCACGCTGCCTCCGTTCCTAGGAGGGAAGACTGCCTGCAAGGTAAAGGCGCTGTCTCTGCACGCTGATGCAGGGCAGCCCTCACTGGGGGCGGCTAGGCTGTGTGCTCTCTGCGTGTGTGAAAAGAACTCAGCTCAGCAGCACCGCTCGCATCTCCCGGCATGGAGTTCTTAGCCTGCTCCAGACCACACTGTCCACAAACCACTTCCTTACGTGGTCAAAAGCAACCTGCCTGCACCCTGCTTCCCCTACCTCAGCTTCTCCGGCCCTTCCCTCTTCCACCTTCCACCCAGTCCCGCTGTGCCTCAGTTTCCTCTTCTGAACCATTCCTGCAGATTTCACCCTCTCCTCTTTTAAATCCATCACTTCTTTCTTTGTGATGGCTGGATTGGCCCCATCTTGGGATTCTAAGAAACAGAGAGAGCAGCTCCCTTCCTCCCTCCTGTAGCTCTTCACTTGCTTCTGTCCCTTGGGGTGGTCCTGGCAGAGCGGCTGCCCACCTCCCCAGCACCTGCCCTCTGCAGCAGCTATGAGAATGCACCCCACGCTGGCCTCGTCTTGGGACTCCCTTGAGAAAGGAGCACCAAGCCCAGGCTGTGTTGGCTGGGACGGGGATTTCAGCCTTAGCTGTCCCATGCCCATCACCTGGTGACAAAGCCTCTGTGCTTCAACCCCACCGTGAGCGAGGTGTGGGAGAACCTGCTCATGCCCAGCCACTGCCCGGCAGTGGTCGACGAGGGGCCAGCCACTCCTTCCTTCAGTCCTCCCCCTACAGCGGCTGTGCTCACAATGTAGTGCTCCTTCCTCTTCTCTTCCACACCTTCTAGAACTCTCTCCTCTCTTCTGAGACAGGCGGGTTAAGGTTTTTCTCCTATTATTTAGAGTGCTCTCGTTGCTGCATTTTTTTTTTTCTATTCCTGCTCCTTGAAGGAAGTGCAGTGTGTTATTAGCAGTGTGTTTCTCTCAGGGAGAAGGGCAGTCCCAGGAGGAGAGCGCAGCGAGGGACAGCCTGGTGCACTCACAGCTGCCGCGCAGGGCACATGCCAGCGTCCCCTTACGCGTGTGGAGCGCTGTGCACTTACCAGGTTCTCCCATGCGTGCTGTGAGTGTTCACATCACCCGACCTTCACAGAAGCACACGGGAAAGACATTCCTGTGACGTGGCTTGTGCAGATGATAAAACTGAGGCCTGAAAGCTAAAGAGACATAGTAAGAAGGAAAACAAAAAGTCTTCCAATCACATACCCTGTCTCCAAAATTCATGTTTCCCATTTAATAATGTTCGAAGCATTTCCATTTCCATTTCTTTCCTTTGGAATAATGTATTTCCTCCCCAGTGAATACCTAACGTATCTGACAGAGCCCACATTCCACCACTGACAGACACAGGCTTCTCTAAGTTTTCTGTTCGTATCCTTTTAGTGTTTTCCTCCCCCTAAATAAACAAGTAAAATAACTTTAAAAAGGAAATGAGTTAAAAGATATGTAAACTAGAAAAATCATTAAGATAATTTCAAATATCGGTATAAATGGGCTGTTCTGCTAATATTTTTCTATGGCAAAACATATTTGAATTTTTAATTTAAAACTTTTTACCACATTGTTAAAATCTGAATTAAGTATAAGTAAAGACAGAAAATGTTGAATATAAGCCAGATGGAGTCTTAGAAACAACCTTATAGAGCAGCAATACAGAACACTGTCTATTACTTATTAAAAGCAGCTCTTTAGCCACATTTGTGTTTTTTGTAGCTATCAAAAAGAGATGGCTTTTTCCACTTCCGCCGTAGCCACAGGTCTGCCAGGACAGGCATTCATTAGGGAGGGAGCTGACACCCTCTGAATATCACCAGGAGGCAGCTTCACCCAGGGGTGAAGCCAGATGCCCCAGGAGGACTCGCTGGGGGGGCGGGGAGGGCGAGCAGGGCATGAGACCAGGACTGAGCCTGGTGAGGGCACGGGAAGGAACGGGCTCCATGGGGGATCAGCCACTCACAAGGCAAGGTTCAGTGAGAAAGTCACAGCCAGGGCATGGAGACAGGAATTCTTTTCAAATGACTGGATTACCAAAAACGTTTATGTATACATGAGAAAAAATACCATCATCAAAATCAAAAAACAACAAAACGATGACAACAATAAGCTGGAAGAAGACATTGGCGACAGATAAGGTGGACAGAGGGGCTGGCACCGCAGGATACAGAGGGCTCTTACGAATCGATGTGAAAAGTGTGAAAGAGAGAAGAAAAGCAGGCCAAGGATATGAAGAGTATCTCACAGAAGCGGAGGTGTAGGTGGTGAAGGCGTGAGAGAATACTTACCCTCCCTGGGAACTCGGGAACTGACGAGACGCCTGGCGTAACCAAAGCAAAGGGCGGGATAGCATTCAAGGTGACCAGCGCTTCCAGAAACTGGGATGATCACATGTGACAAAAAAGTGCAAGGAATGTTTTTTTTTTTAAATGGCAAAGTGACAAGATCTTTTTAGAAAACTCCATTCTAGAAATATGTACCAAATGCATGTAATCATTTTTGTAAATTATTTTATTATTTTTTATTATTTTATTCTTTTGAGACAGAGTTTTGCTCTGTCGCCCAGGCTGGAGTGCAGTGGCATGACCTTGGCTCACCACAACCTCTGCCTCCCGGGTTCAAGAAATTCTCCTGCCTCAGCCTGCTGAGTAGCTGGGATTACAGGCATGTGCCACCACACCTGGCTGATTTTGTATTTTTAGTAGAGATGGGGTTTCTCCATGTTGATCAGGCTGATCTCGAACTCCTAACCTCAGGTGAGCCACCCTCCTCAGCCTCCCAAAGTGCTGGAATTACAGGCGTGACCCACTGCGCCCAACCTATAAATTATTTTGTAGTGAAATAAAACTACATAGGCCTTGTTCGTAAGAAAATTTGGGGGCCTGGCTGGATAAATTATAGTAGGTTTATTCTGAGGAATACTATGTAGCCTTTGAAAAAGATGAGTTCAATGGATACACATGAGCCTAGAGAGATGGCTGATTTTTCTATAAGCGAAAAATAGCAAGTTGCAAAAAAGTTTTGCAAACAGAGCCTGATTTTGTAAATACTAAATAAAGAAACTGCTCTGTGTATTTACTCGATTGTGGAGTGGCGTGAAGGTTGATTGTCTCCAGTGAGGAAATGGCTGAAGGAAGAGAGACAGCAGTGCTGATTGGTCAGGGATGAAGTCATAGGGAGTTGGATTCGTCTTCTTGTGCTCAGTCTGTGCCTGGGTGGGGGCCACGAGATCAGAGGAGCCAGTTTATCCATCTGGGGTGGGGGGAGCTGATCCTCAAGTGTGGGGCCTGCGGACTCTCTCAAGCTTGGATCTTAGGAGCAGTTTAGGGAAGGTCAGAATCTTGTAGCTCCTGCCGCATGACTCCCAAACCATCATTTCTAATCTGGTGGCTGATGTGAGTCCTACAAAGGCAAGAAGGAGGTCTGCTTGGGGAAAGGGCTGTTACCATCTTTGTTTAAACTATAAACTACAAACTAAGTTTCTCCCCAAGTGAGTTCAGCCTACACACAGGAACGAACAAGGACAGCTTGGAGGTTAGAAGCAAGATGGGGTCTGCTAGGTGAGATCTCTGTCACTGCCTCAGTCATGCTTTTGCCAAGGCGGGTAAGGAAAAGCAAGCCTTACTGCTGCACTTGAGGTCATCAGCAGAGAGACAGGCTGGGTTCTTAAGCCCGAGAATTTCCGGGCGGACCGACGGATGGCATCACGGTGAGGGTGTGGGGGGTGGACAGGAAGGCGGGGGAGGGGAGCACCTGGGGACTCCAGCAATGCTCCTCGTGGTGGGATCAGGCCTGGATGAGAGTGGTGTCCAGGAAGATGCGAGGAAATGGGGAAAAAAGACAACAGCCCAAACCAGAATATGATAAATTGTTTGACAGAAGAAAAGGGGGAAAACTAGCCAAGTATTATTTTAAAGCTTCAGAAGGGAAGAATGATCACCTCATATGTTCTGGACCTAGCTACGGAGAATGCAGACCCATGCTGGGTGCCATGAGGCCCCCGCTCACGAGCTCTTACAGCCAGTGGGGAAGCATCTTCTTATCACTGTGCAGAGAAACCGATGTCTAATAAATAAATTTGTAAAATGCCGAGGAAGGAGACAGGAGAGAGCAGTGCCTAACGGGGCGATGGGAGGAAGGAGGATGGCTAAGGAAAAGCCCTAAAATGAGCTCGCCATGACAGAGGCAGCAGGAGTGTTGGCCAGAGGGCTTAGGGCTAAAAATGCCAGTTCGAATCCTCCTCTGTGGAGCAGGAGAGGCAGCCATGTCCTCTGAGAGGTGAACGTACCAGGATAGAGCTCTGACAGCAAGTGCAGTGAACCCGAGAGATGGAAATTTGGGGGAACGTGACCCAGAGAGTCCTAGGCTTCACTGAGGGACAGGAATTGACAAGACTGGGGATTTTGGGGATGGGTCACTGGTGTTCTTTGACAGAGGATGTTAGGAGTGATAGCCAACAGGCCCCAACTGCGTGACAGAGGGTAGGTGGGTGGGTGGAGGGTGGAGGGGACTGAGCTGAAGGAAAGCAGGGGAGAACCAGGTGAGAGGGATGGATGGACACAGTGGAAAGAAGGGTGGGAGAGCAGATCCTCAGAGGCCAGCTTTAAGGAAAAGATCTAGGCCAGGTGCAGTGGCTTATGCCTATAATCCCAGAACTTTGGGGGGCTGAGGCAGGAGGATCACTTACGGCCAGGGGTTTGAGACCAGACTGGACAACATGGCAAAACCCCATCTCTACAAAAAATACAAAACTTAGCCAGTTATGATGTGCACCTGTAACACCAGATGCTCAGGGGCTGAGGTGGAGTGGTCACTTGAGTCTGGGAGGTCTGAGGCTGCCGTGAGCCATGATCATGTCACTGCATTCCAGCCAGGATAGCAGAGCAAGACCCTGTCCCCAAAAAGAAAAAGACACAACAAGACCCTCACAAGAGGGGGCAGTGGAAGGTGCTGATGTGGAAGCGTGGGTGGGTCCAACAGGAGCCCCCAGTCCACCAAGTGCTTTGGGG